TCAAGTGTCAAGTGTGCGGTCAGAACCCTTTGAAAAGTTATTAAAGAGAAAAAATTAATCTCTAAATGTGTAACAAGAAGGAGGCAGAGGAAAAATATGTAAAGTGTCTGAAGATGAAAAAGGTTAGCTTTCAAGTCAAGCCAAAAACTTATTTTTCAAATTTGGATAAAATGGCAAAGGAATAGAACTCATATTGAATTTTTACTGCTATTCAAGCTTAATTATAAGGATTTAACCTTACCTCCTGAACAAGATGTTTGATCCACACAGCATCTGAGACCATACGATGGAACCCTGGATGACCAACAGGATAACGCGTTTCGAGGACACAACCTCTTCCTCAGACTCTGAGGAAGAGGTTGCGTCCTCAAAACGCGTTAGAAAGTTGGTCATCCAGGGTTCCATCGTATGGTCTCAGATGCTGTTTGGATCAAACATCTTGTTCAGTTTGACATGCCTGTGTTTTATGACTATTGTGAATATGATACTTACTTTGTTCCTTCAATAAATATATTTTTAAATGATAATGCACTAGGTCGGTGCGCCCTCTTTTTTGTTTCTTCATTTGCATTTAGTGTATTTGGACCACCCCGGTCTGTTAGAGGGCAGCAAGCAGTGCATATTCCAGAATATTTCTATTGGTTCTACTGAGTCCATTCCCAGCACAGGAGAAAAGTGTTTGTTGTGTTTGATTAACCTTACCTCCTGCCTTGTTGACAACAGTTTAACCAGAGAGGAAGTGAGTAGAACTTTGAAACCAGGACAAAAAAAAAATAAAAGGTTCTAGCCTTCTCTTCTGTAACCAGTTATCATCCACCCTATAGCAGTTTTAATGCTACATGGTGGACTCCCTGTGCAAAATCATGTGTATATATATATATATATATATATATATATATATATATATACACGTGATCCGTGTTCCCACCTTGTAATTCGGTACAGCACTGATCACTCATCAGATTCAGGCCAATGATGTTTGTATGTTTGTATGCTTGTATTACCAATGATGTTTGGTAATCGGCTTCACCCAATCAGAGCTCAGCCTGTTTTTGTGTTTACATTACACAGGCACAGGTAATTATGCAATCTTCTCTCCCTGGAGCACATTCCATTCCAGAGAGAGAAGAAAGGAGATCCATGTGAATGAAAGCACTACACTTTTACAGTAAAAGTACAGCTAGGTCACATTTAACCTCCAGATCACCCCCCCCCCCCCCCAGTTACCCCTTCACTACCCTGTTACCAGTGTCATTAGTACAGTGTACAGATTTTTTTTACTGATCACTGTATTAGCGTCACAGGCGACTTCAGATTTAGAGTCAGTTAGCGGCGCTCCCAGATGGCGTCAGATTGCCAGACACTACACCAGTAATCACATCAACCCTTTGATTGGCAGGAACACGCTCACATACACAATCAACCTCCATTGCTAGTATAGTGTCTGAATGGATCAATAGCTTTGATCAGATCAGAACTATACCAGTGTTCGCAATAGTATAGTGTCCCCAAAAATGCAGTGTTAGCAGGATCAGCTCACGCACCTGCGTTTAGCCCAACGCTTATCCCCCCTTTCCCCCAGCAAGTGCAGTGTCAGTAGAACACTGTCACTTGATGCATTGCGCATAAAACTGCAGGGTTAGCAAGATCAGGCCTGGTCTCTGCTAGCACTAGCAGGTAAATTTTTTTCAGTTCAAACTGACAGTTCAAACATTCCCTGATAGCCAGGTGCTCTTTTTTCCTCTGAGTCAAACTAGGTATCTATAAATTTAATGGCCAAAATGTCAATCGAAAGGTACACTAGTGAAGAGTTCTACAAGATTCTGAGCATGTCAGATGATAGCAAAGGGGAAGCCTCACTGACAGAATCAGGCTCAGAATATGAATCTGTAGACAGCAGCGGCACACTGACAGATAGTTCGGATGATGGGATAGAGGTCCCTGCTAAGGTCAAGCGTACCCAACCCCATTCCCAGGATCCTGAGGTGTTACAATTGCATCAATAATAGCAAATGCAGCACTAAGAAAAAATAAATAAATAAAGAAATATATAATCATATACAGTATGTATACTGTGATAAACGTATAACATGCGCTGTGGAGCGCTATACTAGATGGTGGTAATAATGTCCAAATCTGACGTATAAAGTGCAGTTGTCACACATAAATAAATAAATCTATAAATATAAAGTCCAAAATCGGTATAAAGTGAATTCCGTGACTCCAGTGACTGGAAGCTAATGTATATTGCACTAACCAGAAAGCGCAAAGGATCATCTGGCACACGTCAGCGCATCAGGTGATCAGCAGACTATGATCCTAGTATTTTACTTTCCCTTCTTGCCCTATGCTGCGATGCTTGTATTGTCACTAAGATGGCCATCTCCATACGAAAGGCACAGTGTAAAAATAAAAAAATTTAAAGCACCCTCATCCCTCCATGCAACAGTGTACACAAGCATCTGCCCCATGCCGGTATGTAAACAGCAGTTGCACCATGCATGTGAGGTATCGCTACGAACGTCAGAACATGGGCTAGCACTTAACCTTCTGTATAAATCTAAAATGGTAGCCTGTAAAGGCTTTTAATGTGTCACCTATGGATATTAAAAATGTATGTAGTTTGTCGCCGTTGCACAGGGCGTGTGCACTTTTAAAGCATGTCATGTTTGGTATCTGTTTACTCGTCATACCATCATCTTTTATATTTTACCAAACAACTGGCCAATATATTGAGTTTTTGGGCATTAAAATTAAAAAAAGTGTATTTTTTTCAAAAGAGTTGCATTTGAAAAATCGCTACGCAAGTACTATGTTACATAAAAAATTGCAACACCCACCATTTTATTCTTTAGGGCATCTGCTTTAAAAAATATATAATGTTTGGGGGTTCAAAGCAATTTTTTTTCATGTGTACAAACAGTGTCAGAGGCTTGGTTTTCAAGTGGTTAGAAAAGTGAGTGATGTGTAGCATAAGCTTCTAATGCTGGGAATAAAATGCTAAGATAACAACCGCCCCTCCCAAACTATTTGCCAAGAGGCATGTTGAGTCAATAGAAGAATGTATTTTTTACCACAAGTTTTTGGAAAATGACAAATTATATATATATATATTTTTACACAAAGTTGTCACTTAAATTATATATTGCTCACACATGCCATGGGTATATGTGGAATTACTCCCCAAAATACATTCTGCTACTTCTCCCGAGTATGGGGATGCCACATGTGAGAGACTTTTTGGCAGTCTAGCCACGTACAAGACCCCAAAATCCAACAAGCACCTTCAGGCTTTTAAAGGGATTTAATTCCTCATTACACTTCCTGACTACCTATCACAGTTTCAGATGCCCTGAAATAATTTATTTATTATAGGTACTTATGTAGCACCGTCAATTTATGCAGCGCTTTACATATACAGTATATTGTATTCACATCAGTCCCTAACCCTCAAGGGGTGTACAATCTAAAGTCCCTAACTTACATTCATACACATACTAGGCACAATTTAGGCAGGCTCCAATTAACCTACCAGCATGTCTTTGGAGTGTGGAGGAAACTGGAGTACCCGGAAGAAACCCACACAGGCACAGTGAGAACATGCAAACCCCAGGCAGGTGGTGCCGTGGCTGGGATTTGAACCAACGACCCTAGTACTGCCAGGCGGAAGTGCTAACCATTTAGCCACTGTGCTGCCCACAGCAGAAAATGCCAGAATAGTACAAACCCTCCAAAATGACCCACATTTTAAAAAAGTAGACACCCCAAAGAATTTGATAAGAGACATGGTACGTATTTTGCTGATCTCATTTGTTGCCACAAATGTGTGGAAAATGAAGAAAGAAAAAAAAACATATTTTTCTTTTTTTTTCAAAACCTTGTGAGAAAAAATTATATCTGCAAAGTACTCACCATGCCTCCTATTAAATTCCATTTTCCCAAAACTTGTGTTAAAAAATAAAGTATTCCTTTGACTCAACATGCCTCTCAGCAGATAGTCTGGGGTGTCTACTTTCCAAAAAGTGGTCATTCAGGGGGGGGTTGTGCTATCCTGAAATTTTAGAGCCTCAGAAACTGTGATAGGTAGTAAGAAAGTGAAATAAGGCAATTATGCACCTTCAGGCTTTCAAAGGGGTCATTGGATTTCAGGCTCCTGTTTGCGGCTAGGGTGCCAAGTAGTCTCACATATGTGGTATCCCCATACTCAAAAGAAGCAGCAGAATATATTTTGAGGTATAATTTCAAATATACCCATGGCATGTCTGAGCAATATACAGTTGTGTTAAAAATATTAGCAGTGTTTTTTAAAAAGTGAATAAAGCTCAAAATCCTTCTAATAGCTTTTATTTCCATACACACAAATGCATTGGGAACACTACACATTCTATTCCAAATCAAAACATGAATAAAAATATATCAAATTTGTGTTGTTCCTCTAAAAAAATTGAAGAAAAGTAAATATTAGACTGTTCAAAAAAATAGCACTGTTTGTATTCTTCTTTACAAACTCAAACATTCACTATATAAACTGAAAAATGTTTGAAGATTTTGCTTTCCTTTGAATCACTTAATTAATATTTAGTTGTATAAGCACTGTTTCTGAGAACTGCTATACATCTGTGTTGCATGGAGTCAACCAACTTCTGGCACCTGTGAACAAGTATTCCAGCCCAGGATGAGTGGACTACATTCCACAGTTCTTGGTTTTGCCTCAGAAACAGCATTTTTGATGTCGCCCCACAAGTTTTCTATTGGATTAAGATCCGGGGATTGGGCTGGCCACTCCATAACATCAATCTTGTTGGTCTGGAACCAAGATGTTGTACGTTTACTGGTGTGTTTGGGGTCGTTGCGTTGTTCGAACACTTATTTCAAGGGCATTTCCTCTTCAGCATAAGGCACCATGACCTCTTCAAGTATTCTGATGTATTCAAACTGATCCTTGATCCCTGGTATGCGATAAATAGGCCCAACACCATAGTATGAGAAACATCCCCATATCATGATGCTTGCGCAACCATGCTTCACTGTCTTCACAGTGTACTGGGGCTTGAATTCAGTGTTTAGCGGGGTCGTCTGACAAACTGTCTCCGGTAACTAGACCCAAAAAGAGCAATCTTACTTTCATCAGTCCACAAAATGTTGCGCCATTTCTCTTTAGGCCAAATTGTAACCTCTTCAGCACATTTCTTTTTTTTCAACAGTGGGACTTTGCGGGGGCTTCTTGCAGATAGCTTGGCTTCACATAGGCGTCTTCTAATTGGAACAGTACTCACAGGTAACTTTAGACCTTTGATCTTCCTGGAGCTGATTGTTGGCTGAGTCCTTGCCATTTTGGCTATACTTCTATCCATTCGAATGGTAGTTTTTTCGCTTTCTTCCACGTCTTTCAGGTTTTGGTTGCTATTTCAAAGCATTTGCGATCATTTTAGCTCAGCAGCCTATCATTTTCTGCACTTCTTTATATGTTTTCCCCTCTCCAATCAACTTTTTAATCAAGGTACACTGTTCTTCTGAACAATGTCTGGAACGACTCATTTTCCTCAGAATTTCAGAGAGAAATGCACTGTAACCAGCATGTACAACATTTGCTGCCTTCCTTCCTTAAATAAGGGCAATAATTGCCACCTGTTTTTCAAAGAATGAATGACCTCACTAATAGAACTCCACACTGCTATTATTTTGAACATGCCCCTTTCAATTAGTGATTCAATTACACAGAATCAGCAGCATGCATGTCATGACTGTTGGGTCTGTTGGATTTCTATTACTCTACTACATCTGCTAGTAAATTATTTGCCATGTAGAAATATCATTTCTACCAAAAACAGTGATTGAACAGGTTAGTGATGTCTGACTGCTATTATTTTGAACACAATTGTACCATTTTAATGACAACTTTGTGTAAAAAAAATATTTTTGTCATTTTCCAAAAACTGTGGAAAAAATAAATCTTCGATGGACTCAACATACCTCTCAGCAGATAGCTTAGAGTGTCTACTTTTTGAAAATGGGTCATTTGAGGGGTGTTTGTACTGCCCTGGCATTTTAGCACCTCAAGGAATGTGATAGCCAGTCATAAAGTAAATATCATAGTTTGTAGACGCTATAACTGTCACACAAACCAATTAATATACACTTATTGGTATTTTTTACCAAAGACATGAAGCAAAATACATTTTGGCCTAAATTTATGATAAAATTTGAGTTTATTGGGTATTGTTTATAACAGAAATGAGAAAATATTGTTTTTTTTTTTTATTTTCATTTTTTTTGTTTATAACACAAAAAATAAAAAAAACCCAGAGGTGATCAAATTTCATTTATATACAGCACTGCATGACCGCGCAATGATCAGTTAAACTAGCGCAGTGCCATATAGCAAAAATGGTGTAAATTCCAGTATCTATACCATAGTTTGTAGATGCTACAACTTGCACACAAAAACAAATTAATATACACTTATTGAGATTTTTTTTTACCAAAGACATGTAACAAAATACATGTTGACCTAAATTTATGACGAAATTTGAGTTTATTGGAACAAAAATGAGAAAATATTTTTTTTTTAAAATCTTTCAGTTTTTTTTTGTTTATAGCGCAAAAAAAAACAGTGGTGATCAAATGCGACCAAAAGAAAGCTCTATTTGTGTGAAAAAAGGACATCAATTTTGTTTCGGTACAGTATTGCATGACCACGCAATTATTATTTGAAATAGCGCAGTGCCGAATAGCAAAAAATGGCCTGGTGAGGAAGGGGGGTAAATCTTCTGGAGGGCAAGTGGTTATTCAAGAAAAGTGTTTTAGTTCCATTTGTGTTGTTGTTGAACAGTATCCTTCACTCCCCATCTGTTAAAACACTGTCAGCAGGACAGAAAGTTAGGGGAAAGCTCTCTTACGGAGCCTCAGATACCAGTAAAATCCCGAGAGGGGTTCTAAAGCCTGGTACACATGCTAAGTTGTTAGCTGGGCTGAACGAAAAAAACTGAGGAGCTTGCAAGGAGGTCTCTGTACTAATGATGCGATGTTAGTACAGCGATCTCCCCGCTGAGCTATTATGCTCTGACAGGGGGACTGCCCCCCCATCCAGAACACGCTGGTCAGAGCTCACAGCCATTGGCTTAAAGCACTGATTATGCCAATCAGCTGCTGGTTTTCCAGCAATCTTGTTCGACAAAAGCCAGCTGTAAGATCGGCTTCTGTCAAACAAAGAACTGTACATGTGGGCCAAATGTAGGCCAGTATCTACTGTACTGGCTGATTTTGGACGATATATATGGCCCATGTGTACAGGACTTTACCCTTACGCACTCTAACCAAAATTAAGAAAAATTTGGCAGGGCACACAGTTTAAGAACTCAGAAGAAAGCAGAATATGGTTGCATTAATAAACCGGTAAAGCAAATTACATTTGTCAGGTCATTTTTTTTCCAATCTTGCCAATCTCACCTTTGTGCTTATATATATAACTGGAGACATGAAAATGTTAATAAGGGAAACTATTGTAAATTGTTTGTGAGTACACTGTTATTATGGTTTGCCAGAATACTGTTCTAGCTAGATTAGGATGGTTAGGAAATTGCAAAAAGCCAAATATATTTATGTCCTTTGAGAAATAGTGAACAGGCATATGGTTGCATGCTTTATCAGTGATGTCATTGCCCATATGTATACAAAGGTCTCATTTGGACAGTAGCATAAGCCCAAATATAAGATCCATGTCATTTAAAAAAAATGTAAATATAATATATATAAACTATATAATAAAAAGAAAATAAATGCAGCCACCACATTTAAGTATTGGTAATCTGCAATATATTAAATATTTGTTTTGGGGTTTAAAGAATATGTAAACCCAACATTTCCTATTTCTCATATGTAGCTGCTGTACCATGTACTTGTATGAAAAAGTATCCTCTCTCTCTTTGTATTGTGTCTTTTGTGTAAAATCCCTAGTGTTAGTGCCAGTCCCTCTGCATTCCTTTTAAAAACTGACCACACTAGGCATGAGATCACACTGTGGTCAGTTCTCTAGCTGTGCTTGGCCTGATCGCCTCCAATGGTCAGACTCATCTTCACACCTTCCCCTCTGCACAGTCTTTCATTGGGGAAGATCAGTATAATGCTGTTTCTCCTCCCTGAGCTCTTTAAGCAGCTGAGAACAGTGGGAATGTGATCACTTATAAAAAAGAGGGGGGGGGGGGGGGGGGTGGCATTCATAATGTTTTTTTATATCTACATACAAATGTTTTGCCTTTCAATTCTATTTTAAACAGAATGGGTTGTTTTACAAGGTGAGAGTTTACAATCACTTTATTACTGATTTAAAAAGCAAAGTGCACTGCAGCATCTGGCAGTGCTAGAGTATGATCACAGGACAAGAGCACATAATACACAGTATTATTATACTTCAGTTTATCTCTTTCTTCTTTAAGCTGTTTTTTTAGTTTGAGGACATTAGAGAATGTTGTGCATGAGAGACACATAGGACAGCTGGCACCAAATGTTTTGAATACCTACGTATTTTGCTTCAGTGTTGAATTAGATGGTGGCAAAGCATATGTACACTTGGCATTGTTTTATATACTCTGTATGTGCAGGACTAACGTACTTCTAAAATTAGGCTGGCCCCAAATGAACTATTAGATGAGAAGGAAGTCCTTATTCTAATTATATTATTAAAAGAGCAATGTAGTTGAAGCATGTCTACACTTCTATATTGTATTGTATACTAAAAAACACATATTCAGTACATTACCCCAATACTTGCACATTTCCACATTTTGTGTTTTCAAAGACAGTGTAAGCACAGAAAAAATGCCTTTTATTAGCCCTGCCTAATGCTTACTTTGGACTACAGAACACCTCCACTATGATTTGGTGATAAGGAAAGAGGGAAGTGTTCGCTAGCTCTAACACGCTTCTTCTCCTGGGCTGACAGTGCTGTGCCTCAATAGATACTGAACAGTGAGTAACCATTGTTGCCCTACGACAGGTCAGGGTCACTGGCAGGATTGCCAGGTGAAATAGTGGAACAAAATCATAAAGAAAGAACACTAATGCAGTCAACATGTCTAAATACTAGGATCATGGAGGTAGTGGACACATCTGCTGGGTGCCGTTATGAATTAACTCCTGAAGTTGTGTGTTCCTAGTTACATCTTCCTAGCTGGCCAATCAAGATAACCGAAAATCCCAAACCTGAAGGATGCCAGAAAAGGAGCTCGCTAACATCACTTTTCTGGAGCCGAGGTAAGTATAGTTACATGTAAACCTTTTGCTATATTATTAGTGAATGTATATTTTGATTTATCATTACAGTGGTTACAAAATATAGTATACCACTGCTCCACTACAGATATTAATGTCCATGTACTCCCAGTTACAGGTCTGATATCTGCTGAACATCCAAAGCAAAGAAGTGAAGGAAGAAGCCACCTACTAGGATCAATGCCACTGTTAGGCCCCTTTCACATGGGCTGACATTTTGATTAGCAAGGGGATCTGTCTGCTGATCCACTGATGATAAGAGCAGAGCGGGCGGATGGCAGGTCTGTGTCTGCTCAATTTATGCAGAGCGGACATAGAAGGAACCCACTCTACTCTATGGGCAGCCAGGAATAAACGGGCTGCCCTATGATTCAATCTGATTTTTTAGCAGACTGGATGGAATTAGTGTTACGGGGCCATAGGGGTTAATGGGGGTCCAATCAAGTCCACCGGAAAAACTGTCAGGCGGACTTGATCAGACTCTACGTGTGAAGGGGACCTTAAAAGTTTAAAAATGCATTGTTCCACTTAATGCTTTATAAGTTCACACATGCCTTCACTCTCTAACACTTTTGGCAAAGAGCTTATTCATAGAGAAGTTAGCTCAAAGTAACTTTTGATATGATTTCAAATCTTTTTTAAGCTTACTCGTCAATGTTTTTTGCTATTGTGTTAAATATCAAAATTTGAAGCTTTGCCATATATAGAAGTTTTCAGTGACTTTCTCCAGTAAAAGCATTATTTTCAGTGAATCAGCCAACTTATAGACTTTCCTTTGATGAAGGAGCTGTAAAACACAACCATGTTGGAACACTACAAAGCTGAGATATTCAGGAAAGCATTTTCAACACTTTTCTGACAGTGTGGGCACATTAGAAAGTCCTGCACCTAATTCATGAAAACCATGTGTCTCTATGGCTGTGACAAATTTAAAAAGTATTACCAATTTTTTGAGCATAAAAAAAATGTAGGCATAGCTTCCAACTGTCCCCGATTTGGAGGGACTGTCCCTCATTTGGAACAAAGTCCCTTTTTCCTCATCATTTGTCCCTCATTTTGGTCTGATCTATATAGCTGTATATATAATTTACTATTTATCTTTCAAAAAGAGTTTTACAGTGCTAAATCTATCATCCAATTTCTAAATACTGCATTTGTACGTTTCCGAAGCCAATGTA